CTAGTATGTTGAAGATGAAATCATACCACTTTCGTGTCTACCAGCAACGGGAGAAAAAACAATTTCCACCACTGTTTGTTGTTGTAATATCGGCAGACCGCGGCTGTTTTCCATTCTCTGTTCCGTTCTATTGACATTGATATTTGCATAACCATGAAAGCCTAGTGGCAATCTCTGTAGCGCGTTAGACCCCCGGAGCGAGTCTAGAGGCAAATTAATTTTTGATTTTTTTTTTTTTTTTTTTTTTTTTGGTGAAATATAAATTTTTAATTTTAATTTTTTTTTTTAATTGTTGGAGAACCGAAAATTTTTACCTTCACCTCATTCGTAGGTTGTTTTTGTTTTAGTATGCCACGGTTGAGTTTCATTTCCTACAAATTTTGTTAAAGGGCGCAGATTTCGTTCTTCCATATAAGATAACGGTGGTCTGATGGTCTGCTTAACATTTGCTGGCTAAAGTCAATTGACATGTGCAAATACCTACATACCTAAATAACAGTGTCTTCATTTCGATTACCTACTAAAGTACATAGTAAACTCCTGTTTATTTTCACAAGCCAGATTATTTTGTCATCATCATGTAAGGAAGTCATTTATTACATTTACCACCAAAGAATTTCTATATTCATGTCCTTATTTGCTTTGCCTTTAGTTATTCTTTCTGTTTCTTTTCACCTCATCTGCCGCATATAAAGGATAGAAATTCGATTAAGGTGGTGAAAAGAGGTACTCTGCACCACAAAACTTCAATCAGCCGGCATCACTGATGTTTTTCAATTTCTTTTTATACATATTTTTTTTTTTTTTTGTTTCTTTTGCTTACTCATTTTTTCAACCTGACTACCTGTCCATTCAGAATTTCAATAAGTGGGTTTTTTTTCAATTCTGCCCAACATCGACAAGGTTTTATCGATCTTCTCTTCTGCATTCGCCCAACCAATGAATTGCAAATATCCTTATTTACATATCCCTATCGGTTGTAAGTGAAAATGCTTTGTCATTCAAAGTGACGTACATAATTTCATATGTGTAATTGTATGTGTGGCTGTATAGCACGCCCACACATATAACATCTGTACGTAATATAAGGTACTCTCGCCCGGCTTTAGCCTTATTGGCTAATTTCATTCCACTTTAAATGCTCGTAACAAGGCTGTTTTAAAAAGGCTTTGTCCACCTCCAACATTTTTTACAAAATTTTATATATGTATGTATATGGAAACCGAGCTTTAAGTGTTTTCAGACTACAAATATATATCGGCACTAATGAGAATATCATGCAAATTAGGAAAATTGCATTATTACTTAACTACAACGGTAACTTAACCGAGACGTACGTGTATGTATGTATTTAGATATGTGTGTCAGCTACGTCATAACTAGAAAACACTCCCTGCAAATAAAATTCCAGTTGTTCAATAGAATCCAAATAGTTTGTATTTTTTCGCAAATTATCAACTGATATTTTTAATAGGTAGATGTTCTAATGCGAACTATCCCGACTATACATCAACTTCATAGTAGTTAAATACTAGTTAATTTAGACATGTTTAATTTCAAGGCATAAATCTCGCCCATTGCAATGACAATCGATGTAGCGGTTAACCACCTGCACCGCACACTTTAACAGAGCACATCGAGAGAATGATGCCAACCCATGGTGTGCTGGAAATTAACATAACATAGCAGTGCGGCTGTGGTGGAAACCATTGTTACTACTGTTACTGTTGAATTGCTGGACATACACCAACAAGTAGAGATCTGACATGCATTCACCTTTAAATACTATCAATTAAGTAACTTTTTTTTATTCCAGGTTGGCTCTTCACTGTAGGCCTGTAACAGGTATGAATTTTTGTTTGGACACGTGACTTAAATACTAAGTGCTTGATGTTGACTGTTATAAAAAGTTGAGACTAATTTTTTGGCAAACGCCTCTCCAAGTTGTGAATCCTAATGTAAATGAGAAGTATTCTGCTGCGGAGTAAGACACTTACTTCCTGGACCTCTGGAAATATTATGTGCTTCACTTCTTAGCACATCTCCTGCTGAATGTCTTTTATGCTAACATCATTCCCTTGAATAAATTTTTGTTATCTGATGACGATAATGTCTTTTACTCTTAAATTCAAGAGCTAATACAAAAACTGCTTGATATGCATTTCGTGTCTATAAAATTTTTATTTAATCAGAAGCTTTTTGCCTTCAAATCTAATCTCCGCGAGCCGATCTCTGTAATTCATCAGAAGAAGCATACACTGCTCTGTTTATTTGCTCACCTTGTTTTCTTGTGACATATATCTGTAGGGAAGCAAAGTCACTCCTCTAAGTTTATAATTCTCCTGCAAACAAATAGATAAAAATATTCCTCGAGATGTTGTCAGCATCTTCAAACCAATATTCTTATACTGGTACCATTAAAATCATTATTAAAACAGCTAAGAGGCCTCAGTTTACGGACATCCCAAAATCCTAACATATTTTGTTTTTCTTTATTGAATTAGACACAAATAACCCAACCGTTCCCTTGCAACCAAAGGAGATATTTTCAATGATTTTGCTGTATTACTCATACCTCGCTCCTACCGACTGATACTTCAACGAATATCTCAATTTGATTAACCACCCCAAGGTAGCGAGTGTTGATGCTACTTCCTCAATAGACGTACAGAGAGGTGCGATCCCCAACGCCAGTACACTCACGGGACGGGCATATCAATTTCAAACAGAGCGGTTTAGAGTCTGATTTTTTCCTGATTCACCTACTTGTATCCTTCATCCAACGTATTCAACCAGCAACCCCATTCCCTTGCATCATCGTTTGTTTTCTGGACCTTCAGACGATTGGTTTTGATAATATTACCTGGTTTTGCCACTACTAGCTCACGAAAACCTGCCAAAGCCTTGCGCTCACCCTAGCATTAGAGTCTGCTTCTGTAACACTTAATACTATATTTTTCCAGTTCATTACTTCACACGTTCAAGTCTCTGGAAGTTTTTATGTTTGTTCACCCAACTGTTGCACGTAAAAGCAAAAAAAAATCCTTATCTAACATAAGTAGTGGAAACATTTATATTTACATATATGTATATGTCAAACTTCATGCAGCAAAGGAATTTAGCTCTGCCCCTCCCTCTATATGTATATATCTTGGTTCATAAGCTACACTGGCGCTTGCCTATTTGATAAACACCGGTGGCGCCTTTTTTTGTGCTGTTTCTGGAACCCTTTGTTTAAAGTCCGGCTGATGTGTTCGCCATTTTGCGTGACTTTTGATTTTGGCTGCCCTTGGTCTTCTTTGTTATTGCGCGATGCTGGGTTGCACGGCTTTGGGAGTTGGATTTAACTCGCTCGGTCTATCGCGAAGGTGGTTGAGAATTTAATAAAGCCCTTTTAACGTATGATATGGATGTAACTTTCTTCAAAAGATTTGGATCTGATACAGAAAATATGTCAAAATTATATTCTCTATTGTATTTTTATAAATAATGTAAATATGTTTACTTAAAATTTTGATAATTTTGAAATTGCTCGACAATAAATAGCGTCATGCCACAGGTATTATATATACATATATATATATATATATATATATATATATATATATTGTAATTGGCGCTTTGCAACTACTGAAGCGGTTTTTCGGCCGAGCTCCTCCTCCAATTGGTGGTTTTGGCGTCTTGATGTTTTTCCCACAAATAGAGCGACCAGTATAACCTGTACTAAGCCGCCTACGAAAAGCTGATGGTTTCTTTTATAAGGAGCCTTTATTTCATGTCCGAAATACACTCAGAGAGGTAGGCATTCCCTGCTGAGGGGCGATCGCAATTAGAAAATTTAACTTAATTTTGTATTTAAATTAGTTTTCCATATCTTCTGGATGTTGATGACACTGACATATGAACCCGAGACTTCGGAATGTCAGTACTCAATACTAACCACTTGGGTCAACAGACGTAAAAGTTCCAAATTCTAGCAATGTTTGTTCAAAAATATATTTGTATAACATGGCTCAATAAGTTGTATGTAAGTGCCCAAAAGAGAAAAGATATATACCTCAAAATGTATGCCCATCGGGCCATATGGATGAGTTGACTTGATTAAGACTCCGCTTTTCTGGACAAACTGGTTTCTGCGCTTTTGAGATATTTCAACCAAACACCGTATAGAGATGCAATGGTTTATTCAGTCAGATCATACCAATATGATTGTGGCTCTTGAGTACTTGTTTTGGATAATTGTCGAGATCGGTGGGAGACATCATATGGCGCCGATGTAATTGATTTAGCACTAATTAGTATTTAGCACTAAAAAGAAATGCCGTATATTTCATATAGCTATGAAGGGTGTCAAGAACGCGGCCTAGCCGAATAAAGCTCTTTTTTCTTGCTGAGGATTAAAATACACTGCATCGATCTAAATCATATCAGGACTCAATTAATTGAAATTATTATCGATTTTAAAGAATCACAATGTAAACCTTTTATAGTCAAAAATTTAAGCCGTTTCATGCGCAGAAGTGTGCAGATTTTTTCAAGGCTTTGAATCAACGTCATCATGAAATATAAGAGTTTGCTATATTTATAAGGAGAGAGATGTGTGGGCCACTCACTTTAAGGTCAAAACGTTTGCCTCGGAAGTCACAGAACAGAGTAAGACTAGTGAATATGATAAAGTTTGATACATTTATTTCCGTCTGATTTCCATTAATCACTAATCGAGTTCAAAAATTTGTCTACCGGACAAACAGCAGACCTTCTATATTTAACCGATCTGTGGACATTATATAAATAACAGCCGAAAATTTTATGTTGGGTCTATCCGCACGTGGTCTTAATATTTTATATATTTTATTAAAAAAATGGTGAAAAATCGTTGTAATAAGTTCGTGGATGAATATTAGAATTTAATTGGCGCCTTAATATACACGCATAAGCGCAGTTCCACCATATATAGCAACTACAAAACTTTCCACTCATTTATTGTTGTTGTTTTGCAGGTTATTGGATTTTCGGCGCGCAATTTTGTGATACTTGGGTCGCTTTTGATGTGATGTGCTCAACGGCGTCCATTTTAAATCTATGCGCCATCTCGATGGACCGTTATATACACATAAAAGATCCACTCAGGTAAGTGGTAGTGGCAAGTGGGCATGCTATCTATTCAAACATACATATATTATATATATAATATGTTTGCGGTTTATTTATGTATATATATATATATGTATAAATGCTTTCTATGTGACCAATATAAGCCATCAAAGACACCTTTTAAGAGCTTAAGTAGCAACAACTGAAACAATATATGCCCAAAACGGTGAAAAAGTAAAAAAATATGTATTTATACGTATATATATTTATATATATATATATATGGGTATATTGTCGACTGAAAGAGCTAAGCTTACCGGTTGTCAGCTACACCATTGCTAACGGCCATTTTAAAAATATAACCATATATGAAGGTGAAAGTGTTGATGGGCTTATATGCATATATACTTACATAGTATATATGAATGTATGTACATTTTACATCAAAGTGGCCATAACAAGATCAATATATTAATGGAGCAACAGCAGGAAAGTGGATGAGGGAAATTTTCTGAGCGCAGGCCATGAGACAAAAATATACACTGAGGCATAGTATATACTGCATACGAGTATATATGTGTATGTATGTGGCATACACACATAGCGGCAAATTGATTGAATAATTGACAGTAGAGCCCATACTAGGGCAACGAAGAGGCAACACACCTCCCAGACTAATAAAATATGGCATGCAAGTGTGCCAGCATGTTCCGACAACGATGACGCGCACGATGACACTGAAGTGATGCTGAAAATGGAAATAGTTGAAATCCGCTTGGAGCAGTGTAATACACATACATGTATGTATGTATAATGTATATCCTACTATTTTTGGTTATAGGTTATTGATTTCCCATATACATTTGTACATATATACATACCCTGATGCTGGTGAGCAAGGAATAGTATAAAGCAAACAAGAGAAAAAAAAATTGTTCTTCTATAAATAAAGAAGGGAAACTCTGTATGTATGCATGATTACATATTTGTATACAATAATATGTATGTACATATAGCAAATGTTCCTCTTTAGCTTAAGTTGCAACTGAGTGCATTTACATACTACGGTCCAATCAATATCTGTCCCACATACATAGTATTACATATTATACACCTTTAATCTGCTGCTCTACAAATCGTCTATCGTTTGAGTATTTATTCATTTAGTTTCTAAAAATAAAGCATTTAAAGCTGCATGCGACAGATAATGATTCAATAAAAGCTTTTTAAATAAAATGCGCCCGTCGAAAAGGTGAAAAGCAAAAAATAATAAATTTTTTATTTAGCCAAATGAATTCTAAGAATATTATAAGCAAGTCTTAATAAGTTGGAGACAGCAATTTCTTCAAATAATTGAATGGAAATTAAATAATTATTTGAACCTCATTGCCGGCACGATATTTAGCCTGAAAATGTCAAGCGCTCAAGAAGTTAAGCCAGGCAACAACCCAAAGGTCAGACTTGAGCTTGAGGCAGGTCTAGGTGTGGATTAATTTGGTTATTGACCCGAAAGTTCCAAGTCTTATAAGGTGCTAATATGTGAGGACTTTCTAAGGGAATTCGGTAATGTTGGAACGTATGAATGAAGACCAAATGTTGGTTTGCTTTAAGCACTGGATATTTCCCAATTGATGTTCGTTCCATTTGCATGTGCCTTTGATTGTAAGTATTGTAACCACGATTAACGCTTTGACCAAAATTTCGTCTACATTTGAAACACTCATTTGGTCAAAAAAGTGATGAAAGCAAGAGAAGATAAAAAGTCCGGCAGAGCAAGTCCGCTTAAGGCCAAGAATTTCATTGTTTGTTTTTATTTTGATTTTATTTTTTTAGTTTTATTTGATTTGAATTAGAACAAACCTATTACTCTACTATGACGGTAAAAATGTCCTTTTTTCCATTTCAATTTTATGTGTGGCCAAACCTCGAAATTTACCTTATCTATTTGTCCCAATCGGAATACGTGGTAAAGATATTTCAGGGATTGTGTGAAACATACCCTCGACCACTCCTCTCCTCGGGCCCATGAACTAAAGTTATTTTTCAGCCAATTTGGCTGCTTTTCCGCCTTGAACGAAGAAAAACTGTAAAATTTAGCGAATTTTGTCTTTGTTGGTGTCCATCTTTGACGAGCGCTCACAACGTACAGAGTCATTCAATCGAAAAACTATCAGAGACAAACTTTTAGCGTGAATAAACTCGTTTTCAGCGGCGTATAGTATGACATGATGCGACACGTAACACAAGTACTATGAAGAATAACGCCATCTCTTAGATAAAAACCGAACAAACTTTTTACTTGACCTAATATTGCAGCAGAAATTTCGAAACTGTTTATCGAAGTTCTTGCTAAAAGCAAGCGTTTACGCAAATAATGTAGCGCTCGTGATCAGATGTAGCTTATAGGCATTCGTTTGGAAACGAACTAAATCTGTTTTTGGCATAAACCCTAGAGAGATCGAACACAATAAAAAGCGGTGCGCTGCCTACTTTTCCAACATTACCGCTTCACTTTTCCCTACATTTTTCCACATCTGGCTTAAAAATTGAAGCAAAAGTCGGCAGGGTCTCTTCTGTAAGTCTTTCAGACTACCGTAATTTCTATCGGACGAAAGTTTGTCAAGTAGAAAGTTTCTGTCAGACAGGTCAATTTGTCTAAAGCCAGTCTGAAAGTGATTAGAAAAATTTATTTTCCAATTAAATTCACAATTTTTATAATCTGGGATGTTAGTCCGGCCTTCGCATGGTAATATGCAATTTTAATCACTCAGCTCTTGAAGCCACAAATAAAAATATACCAACATACTTGCGACCATGTTATAAATTTCCTTAATTACATAGCAAATCTCAATAAGAACTTCAATAAAGCACTGGACCCAATCGATTGAAGCGTACAATCCACTCATATGTAGTTGAGTGATTAAGAGTTTCGGTGCAAAATTAATCTCACCATTTGTTTATTGCTACACCTAATATTTTCGCACACATAAACGCCAGCACAATATCTAATCTATTTATCACGCAATTATCTGCGATTAGCAGGCAAAACACGCGCTGTGAACGCCGACTGTTTGCGGCGAAATCACCGTGATTCAACATTATCATTATTATTGCACATAAATACCAATGTATATATCCCTTTATGCACCTTACACATGTCTGGTCTCGAGATTCCTAAATAAAGGTTTTGTGAACTCAACCCAAATCTGAGGTAAATTAAGTGTTAAAAAATTGCTTAAATGCGATTTTTCGTGCGATAAGCTCAAATTCAATATATGGTTGTTTGTACAAAGTTAGAGTAAAAGTAAGGGGTATTTTCACCGGCCAACTCTTTCACACATACATACGAGTATATGCCTATGTGTTTAGTCTTTGTAACAAGGGTCAAACTTTTATTTGTACACTTGAATGTTGCTTTTCTATTGCTTTATTGTTATTCACTTCGTCTTTAGCATTCACCACGGTATTTAACTTAGCCCTTTGGGAGTTTGAAAAACGTTTATGAACTTGGTCAACTTTTAGCCAAGCGCATTGCACGTGTACCCTAACAAAGCATATATTAAAGAATATTTGTATATACTTATATACAGCGGTATAGATATGTAAAAAATCAGCAAAATAATGTCTATTGAGCAGAATACACAAATTGTTATTGCATAAAATTGAAGAAAAATGAATAAAATTAAATAAAACAAAATTAAATTTAATAAATTAAAAAAAAAATAAAAAAATAATATAAATTAATTTAAAATAAAAATAATAAATAAAAAAATTAAATTAATTAAATTAAAATTAATAATATAAAACAAAATAAAAAATTAAGTAAAATTATATTATATTAACACAAACTAAGTTAAAATAAAGCAAATCAAAAATCAAATAAATTAAAACAAAATGTCATATGAATCAAAATACAATTAAATGAAATAAAACAAATAAAACCAAATAAAAGGTATTTAAAATTGTATAAAATATAAGAAAATGTATCCAAACATATTTAAACAAAAAAAGTCAAAAATTAATATTTAAAAAAATAAATTAAATAGAAAAATGTATATGCAACTAACTAAACCGAAACGAAACAAAGAAAATAAAATAAAATTAAATTAAGTCAAGCAAAATAACAAATAAACAATAAATAAAATTTTACAAAATAAGGTTTATTTAAACAAAAAATAATAATATTGAAAAATAAGATCAAATAAACTCAAAACAAATAAAAATTAAAAACATAATAAATATATGCATAAAAATATAAAACAGAACAAAACAAAACTTTGAAAAAAAAGCAATATACAAAAATTTAATAGAAACTAATTAAATATAAAATAAAAAACAGCAAAACAAATATTATTTTAATTAAAATAAAAAAGCATTAAAATTAATTAAGATTAAATAAAAAAAAAAATAAAAAATGATATATGAAAATTTTTTAATGAAAACAAATAGTACAAAATAAATTACTTAAAATAAAAAAAATTAAATGAAATATATTAAACAAAAAAAATGGGAAAAATAATATAAAATAAAATCAAAACAAATAAAATAAAATCTCAAAACATATATAACGAAATAAAAACACAGAACTAAACTTAATTTAATTTAAAATAAAAAATTAAATAATACTAAAAAAATCTAAAATTAAAAAACTTAATATGCAACTAAAAAAAATTAGTATTGTAATATATAACAATATTAAAAATATATATAAAATAAAAAGTATTATAAAAAACTAAAATAAAATGATATTAAAATAAACAACTGTCACTGAAACGGCGATGACAATTCGTTTGGCACTTAAAAGCATTATCATCTATGTATTTCAACCAGCCTCAGCCGGTACAGCCACCTATCGGAAAACGGCGGAAGCAAAGTTGTACACCTGATAAATAGAAAAATGTAATATAAAATTAAATAAAACGAAATGATTTTAAGTCAAGCAAAAAAGCGAACAAATATAAAACTAAACAAAAAATAATAAAAGAAAATTAAATTAGATAAGACAAAATGGTAAAAATTAAACATAATCAAAACAA